CTACATTTTGTCAGTTACTTGAAAAAAATTCAGTTATTGCAGTACAAAAATTGGGGGAAAAGTTGTTAAAGCAAGCAGCGTGTGTAATATAATCACCATAAGCAACGATTTAAAGGTTTAATATGCTTTCAATATACAGTCAATAAAATTACCAAAAACATAACAATTTTATTTTTTGATATGAATATAAAAAGAATTCAAAATAGAAGGTATAAGAATGATATCATAACATGCAGCACTCAAAGTGTACACAATCTGAACTATTTTGACATTAGCTTGCAGTTACAACCTTAGAATTATAGGTACAACTTGGTATTACGTTGATTTATGATAGCTTAATAGAAGTGTCTATTAATTATAATTTCTTAACCCAGGCGTTTAATATCCAGATACATAGTTACAACTGATTAACTTAAAGAATTGAATATATTAAGTAGTTTATTACATAAAGGATTGCATTTAAATCTAAAGCAGACTTTACTCTCAAAAGTTAAATTCATGTTTTTAAGATAACTAGGCATTGTATATTAAATAATCTGTTACCAAAAAGTCTGCACCTGTTTCGAGATACTAAATTACGATAATTTAATCTCATTGCTATTTGGCTGAATTCTTATCCAATTCTAATATGCGTAAAATTCATGATAAAGAATTTCAAGCTCCATGGGCAAAAATGTAAAAGACCATAAATCTTATAAATTGTGTCAAACTTATTAAATTTAGAGGTTATGGGAGTCGAATACTACGAAGTTATAATATACCATCCAAATTTCTCATTAGTATCCATTTATGAAGTTTCAAAGTTTTCAACTTTCATCAATATTTATTCATTGGGTAATTTGTGATTTAAGTTATGTCGTGGTCAGCCCACGACAAGGAAACCTGGGTCTTTGAATCTGTACGAATACTAAGGCTACAACAGCCAAGTATGCCCCAACGGGCTAAAGGTAGACTAGACTTACGTACAGTAACACGAAAGCTTAAGTCCATAATACTGCAAAATAGCAATATAGAGTATTGATTAAAGATTACAAATTTAAGTAGGAGTAAGAAGTTTGGAATTTTGCAGAACTCTACTGTACTTTATGTCATTCTGTATATGTTCTTAATACCGTTAACAGTAGATTTATTCACCTAGAATTTGTACTCTATACACTGTACTCGTTTTCATGAACTATAATTTTTACGCTTTACATTTGTAGTGCTTGATTCGACATCACATGTAGTCGATACCTTTCTAATTTATAGTACTCAAAAATGCTGTGGGATGCCATTAATATACAATATTAAGTAGAAGAATGTAACCTAAACAAGGTTACAACACTACTATGTTAGATAGAATCGATGCTATTTGAAATTTATCAAATTTTTGAAACATGTACCGCTATTAAATGATTTAATAACTTACTAGTATATATTAATGACATGTAAACCTACAAGACATTTATTGTAAATTTAAGATAAAAAGTAAAATTTAAATGTCTGTAAGGCTATTTTAAAAATTGAACTTATAATAACAGAATATTAGATGAGCGGGCTAGTACAGTTTAAATGTAATTTATTAAATTTTAGCATGCACTGCCTGTCTTAGTGAATGGATGACGGTAATTTAATAATGTAAAAACAGTAGTAACATACAGATGCGATACCAGATTTAGAAGCTTGATAAATCTTTCATCCAGAGACTGGATGAGATTGTCTTTTAAACTCCTAATAATTGATTAGGAAGAAATTATTTCCTTACAATCCTGGCAGATAAAATTATGTTTCATGAAACTTCTAAAATTGACTATTCCCGTCGCGTTAGACTTTCGACGTCTACCATAAATTGTAGTGAACGGAGATTATGCACTAATTTAAGTACACATACAGAGTTATTACGGAGCGTATGTGTCACAAAACAGCTTTGCAACAAGATAACGCAATATACGATCAATAAGTCAATTTCTTGAACCACGTATCAAGGAACGATATCTGCACTATCACAAACACTTTTGCTCTACTAGCAGACTACACAAAGACTTAAACGCCTCGTATTTTACGTTAAACGCTAAGTTGGAGAAATTCTCATTATTTCACGATATATTGCATTGATATACTACTCCTCAATAGTTCATGAGTCATAGTTAATACAATTAACATTAGAATCATTTACTGAATTAGATATTAATTTTAGCTACTGCTCCCTTAATGCAGACAACAGTATTTACGAACATAGACATGTAATGACTAATACAGAATAGTCAGATTACGATATGTCCTATCACGGAACATTTCCATGATAATTTACAGTCTACCATAAGTAAATTACAATCACAATGATTGGAACTGTAAGCAGATGATTTGCATTCCCTATTATAACTATTAATTTCAGTATGTGTATAAGTGTCACTGTCATAAAAAGTCAGTGCTATATTAAAACACAGTATATCCAAATTAGAAGTTAACTAAATAAGGATAGTCTAATAGAATTATCCTAATATAGATATTTCTACTGTAATACAGTATATAACACTGTAACAGTATGTAAGGTAGCGATTTTGGAGGGAACGAACGCAGTTGAAGACCATGTAGTTCGCTAAAACGATGATACAAAAGCAGGCATTAATTCCGCTATTAAATTAAGAGTAGTTATCTATTTATAAAAATTGTATCTAAGAGTAACTTATGTCTATGGGATAATGTAGTTTACTGTAAAACGTCAAATAAACTCAAAATTTTCAAATTATAATTATATATCAAACATTTCATATGTCTACTCGTAGTAATAATATCGACTGTAAACTAGCTATAGTTCCATATAGCTCTCATAGCCCCTTCTATGCGCTAAGAGAATACGAGTAGTATCAAATCTTTAAAGAAGATATTCTACGATATGTTTTACCAAGTTATATGAAAATATCGACAACAACTTACAGCTTTGTATATTCAGACTTTTTTGATAAAATTTCAAAAATATCATTACTAGAAAGGCGAGTGTAACCTAATGTCCTAATTAATGATTACCAAAGTATGGAAAAACTTAATTGATAAGATCATACATTCGTTAATTATTTCCGACTTTAGAAAATAACAATCTTTTGATCTGTTTCTTAAAATAAAACTTATACTCGTACGTACACGTCATCTAAACAGTACAATTTTTCAACAAAGTCTTTTCTAAGACCAATTAAGTTATTACCATCAAGTGATCTGAAAAAGACGATTTACTTCTCAAAAACCAGTTTCATGTATTTATGTTGTTGTAAGCTAGAAAATGTAAGTTAAAACTAGGAAAGGTATGTTACAGAGTCAGGTACTCTAACGCCGTAATCAATGCTATAATTTATTGTAGTTTTATTTACTAAAGCTGCTGTTCATCTTGCAACTCTTGCAACTATGCAGACAATATCTGGTAATGCATACTTATCTTATGCTTACTGTATACTTTCCTATCGTAAAGTACTGAGCTACGGATAATTAGTTGGTTAATCATAAGTTTTGATATACATAAAAGTAATTTATGCTATCTGCTACGGTATAGTCAGTAGGGATGCTAAATTACATTAATCTAATTTTGTATTATTTATGATTTCGTGTGCACTGTCGCTGGCTAAGTGGGAGTTTATAAAGTCCGCATATAAATTACAGCATAAGTTTAGTAGTTGATATTTGGTTCTCTGTTCTCGATACTGTTCTAATATATGATAGTAAAATTGTTTGTTGTTTAACTGGTCTTGAATGACAAGACTAACATTAGTGATAAAGTAGTTGTAATCTACACCTGTTGTAGTTTTCATTAGTATGCTGAAAAATAAATCTACAATGCCAGAATTTGCTTAATCTAGACTTGTCGGATTAGTGTTTTATTGCAAGTAAGCTGTAATAAAGTAACTTTAATATAAGAATACTCATCACCAATTTAATTTCTACATTGACATTGTCTACTAATTCTAATGCAGTAACTGACACGAGTGCTTCAAATAACTCTAAATGTTTACTTCATTATTGTTCTATATCATAAAATTAGCGTTTCTACAAACTCTTATTGGCAAAAATTCG